GGCTCCGGGGAACCCATCATCCAACTCCAGGCTAGGACGCCATTCACCCAAAGGGTGTTGGCGGCCCACATTCCGGGAAAATACCGAGGGCAACCCATCAAGCCCTATGAAGGGAAAACTGACCATCAGGAGCACTACAGCAGATACCAAAACAGCATGATGATGGTAGGGGCCTCGGACGAATATTTGTACCGTTGGTTCCTCTCCACCTTGGAGGGACCAGCATACGAATGGTTCAACCGATTGCCCGAAGGCAGCATTGACTCTTGGCAAGAACTAGCCCAACGCTTCTTGACACAACTTGTGGGAAGGCACCGGTCCAAGAAGCATTTCTCCCATCTACTCATAGTAAGGCAACAAAAGGAGGAGACCCTTCGGGATTTCCTTGAGCGATGGAGGCTAGAGACAGACAAGGTCGACGGTGCCGACGACAGGACCCTCCTGGCTCTCCTGCAGACGGTCCTCCGAACCGGCAAATTCTCCAGGAGCTTCATTATCGAGCCTCCACGCGACTATATAAGGGCCCTCCAGCGGGGAGACCGATATGCGGAGGCCGATGAGGTGGAGAGGTCCCATCGGAACCCTGAACAACAACGCCCCAGGCAGGATGACAGGAACAACCGGGGGTCGGGGGCTCCATTTCATCAGTCCAAGGGACCAGCCCCCTCAGGTGATCGCCCCCGGCATGGCCAAGCCAAACCCAGGGGAGGTTACAAAAACAACCCAAAGACCTAGGCGCAGCCCATCCTTCTGGAGCACCCTCGGACGCCTCTAACGCATCCCGTCAGCGTCATCCTCGATTTCGCCGAGGAGAGGGGTCTCGTGGAGCGAGATTCTCGCGCACCCCTGGAGGTATAAACCGTCAACCCTAATGAACCATACTGTCGCTTCCATCGTAACCAGGGGCATAGAACCGACGACTGCCATCAACTGAAGGCAGCTATTGAGAGGTTGATACAGGCAGACCATCTGTCTCAGTTCATCAGGGGGCTTCATCCTCAGGGGGGGCCTCATCACCACGGGGCCCCGCCGAAGGCCAATAAGTGGGTCAACCTGAACACCACCCCTTTGGGAAATCCGCAGGGGAAGAAACGTGAGATTGGGAACCTCGACGAGGAGGAAGAGTACCACCAGTACCAAGAGAAGAAGCGCCATATCCACATGATCACCGGTGGCAACACTAGGGGAGACTCCACGAGCCAGAGGAAGAAGTGGGCACAATCGCTTTACGTGGGGGAAGTCACTCACATGCCCCCCGTAAAGAGGTTGAGGGAGGAGCCCATTATGTTCACCAACGCCGATATCCCCCCGGCTTCCTCTCCCCACAGGGACGCACTAGTCATCCAGAGCAAAATCAACAACACTATCGTCCACAGAACTTACGTTGACACGGGCAGCTCCGTCAACGTAATGTACCTCAACACCTTCAAGGAGCTGCATCTAGAGAGGGAGTCCCTTCGGCCCATCCGAACCCCTCTATACGGCTTCACCGGAGATACTATTGATTCCGAGGGGGTCATAACCCTCCCGGTACTATTCGGAGACGGGCTCCATAGGGCCAAGCTCGAAGTGGAGTTCGTCGTCGTCAACGTTGACTGCGCCCACAACATCATCCTCGGCCGCCCCGCCCTCGAGGACCTAGAGGCTATCATCTCCATGAGACACCTATGTCTCAAGTTCCCAGCTGAAAGAGGCATCGAGTACTCGGGGGGGGGGGGGGGGGACCAAAAGCTCACCCGCGCCTGATATCTTCAGATAACGAAGAAGGTTAGTAAGAATGAGTTCCGAGTAGACACCATCACCGGGACTGTTGAGGGAGAAGAGAAGAGGCCGAGGGCTGAACCGGCCGAGGAGGTAGAAGACTTCGCGCTCGATCCGGCCAAGCCAAAGAGAGTCGTGAAGATTGGAGCCAAGCTCCACGAAGATTTGAAGACCGGCATTACGGATGCCCTCCGCGCCTACTCCGTTGTTTTTGCATGGGGGCCGGAGGACATACCCGGAATCAGTTGGATGGTGATCACTCATCGCTTGGCGGTGGACCCCTCGGCCAAGCCAGTACAACAAGGAAGAAGGCCCCTCTCGGCCGAGAGAAAGGACTTCGTGAAGAAGGAGGTTGCCATGCTCCTCTCGGCATCAACATTTCAGGCAAAGGGTTCACCTTTTCGATTCATCATTGGGAGAATTCAGTGCACTCTTTTTCCCTCATTAGGATTTTTTCCCACGGGGTTTTTCCTAATGAGGTTTTTAACGAGGCATCCCCCAAGATAAAATGAAAATAGTCAGCCCTCGGCCACATAGTGAGGACAGACACTGCTATACTCATCTTCACCACATTACATGTGCCTCAAGGAGTGGGAGACTGGAGGACCCCTCCGGGAACGAGAAAAATTACAAAATGTTAAAATTTCCCCAAAACATCGACATAATCCTTCAAGTCTCGAAATGTGGAGGACTGAGGGACTGCCCTCGGCAAAATGCACATACGAAAATCTCATCACAAACTTTACAAACTACAGCAAGGCAACATCAGAGGACAAACGCAATTACTCCCTTTCCCTCAAGTACCCTTCGTCAAAAGGAGTGAGGGACTCCTGATGGAGTATATGGTCCAGGGACCCTCGGTCCACATACTTCCACTATTGCAATCAGGCCCAACAGGCCCAAGCGGGCCAAGCCCCGCAAAACAAAGCTCTAAGCAGCCCACAATACGCACATGGGGGTGCCTTCGGTAACATGGTCGAAGGCTACCGTCTACAAATTTGAGCTCGGAAACATCACAGGAAAATAAGGCTTGAGAACCAAGCCTTCAGCAATCGGAGCCCTCGGCACTACGAGGCCCCCGGTACGAAGAGCCTTCGGACTGTCACCTACAGCCGAAGGCATCTTCCTCGACAGAATCTCCTCTCCACATGCGCTGAATTGCCGCACCAAGTACAAACGTCACATCCAACAATGGCTTAAGGAACTTTTAGGCATTCAAAACGGGGCTAGTATCTCGACCTTTGGAATGTTAGCACAAAATATTAGAGAATTGTGTTTGGAGTTTAAAGAACTTTATTTTTCTCGTATTACGCGATCTGCGAATAGAGTTGCTTTCGGGTTAGCTGTAGTGGCTTGTTATTTGTCTGATTGTCGATTTTGGTGGTTTATCCCACCTAACTTCATTGTTGATGTTTGAACTTTGATTTGATTAATTGCAATTAATTCCTTTTCCTCCAAAATAAAAAACAAAATTCTATAGACAAAAAATTTCAGATTTTGTTTTAGCTGCAAAAACATAAATCAAAAGTACAAAATCTATCTATATACAAAAACGGGAGAAATTTGAACAATTTTTCCCGCTAAAATATGTGGAAGCATATACGGTACAACCGGTTGTACGATGCCAGCCGTACAGACGGTGGCAAACTTGTAATTTTGGTGAAAATCACAGATTCTTTTTAAATGAGCATTGAATCAATGTTGATGAGCATCAAGCCTCTTCTTTTGAGTATTAGGAGCCTAACGGTGAGCATCACTGATATCTGCTTCATTCATCATATATTACATTTTCTTTATAATTTTTTCGTTTATTAAAAAGTTTTAGTCCAAAATGAGCATACATACATTACAAATTAGTATCAAATAATTAAAAAAGTTCATTTGTGTGTGCTCATTCATTTTGAGCTTTATACTCATTTGAGTTTAACATAAAACTCATTTGGAATATGAATGAATATGACATTTTAAAATGAGTATTACACTAATATCAAATGAGTATACAAAAATTACAAAATGAATATTCATAAAACTCATTTGAAATGTCTACTATGCTCATAATTTCATTTATTATGCTCACATCTGAATAATTACGTATAACTTAGATTTCTCTAACCCGTGACCAACAAGTGACCAAACTTGTTTTAGATTTATATTAAAATAGGTAATATATTTAAATGATTGTAAAATAGATAATAAAGTAAAGGTATAATGATAACTTTATGTTAAAAACTTGTCAAAAGTAGAAATGTAAACTTTATCTTAGATTTACTCAAAAAGAAAAGAGTGAAGTTTATTTGAAAATGAATGTAGTATATAACTAATTAGTCTATATTATATAGTACTACTATACTCTTTTCACTCTTTTGTATTATCTCCGTCCCACTAACATTGAGACGGAAGAAGGTGGCACGGTTACTAAGAAAAATGAGTTTATGTGGTTGATATTGAATTGATAAAGTAAGAATGATTAAGGGTCGCACAAACTTTAGCAAATATGGTATGAGACAATCTTATTGAGATTCCTCGAAAAGGTTTTGGAACAATTTTAGCGGGACGGAGGGAGTACATCATAATTTTATCCATCTTTATTGTGATTTTTGGTTATAGGCTCAAAAAACATTACACGGAGTAATATTTTATTAAATTCTTATTCGTGCATCCTAGGGGTGTAAACGAGCCGAGCCGAGCCCGAACCTACATAGGCTCGAGCTCAAGCTCGAAAATATTTATCATGCTCGAGTTCGGCTCGAGCTTGAACGAGCTCAAATTTTAATACTCGAGTTCGGCTCGATTTATTTACCTAGCTTGAAATCGGCTCGAGCTCGGCTCGAAGTTACAATGATATGCATGAAGCAAAATTTAAGTTTAAGGAGGGTTCAAACCTGGGTTGCAATATTAACTACTTAAGGAGAACTCCATTCAACTACAAACTCATTTGTGGAAACTTTGAACTTAAATAATTATTATACTTTATATATACACACACACCAAGACTTGCGAGAAGGCTCGCGAGCCACGAGACTAAAATAAATAGGCTTGAATTGAGCTCGTTAAATACTCGAGCCGAACTGAACTCGAGTCGAGTTTGAATATGACCGAACTCGTGTCGAGTTTTTATCGAGCGAGTCCCGAGCGGCTCGTGAATGGTTGGCTCATTTACATCCCTAGTGCATCGTACTCCGCAATACCAAACGAATTTATGGTGCTGGTGGGTACTTCGTACAAACACAAGTGTTGAACTGTCACTTTTCTTTATAAATCGTCAACCGCTAATAGCAAAACCCCAAAGGTACAAAACCCTAGCAGCGGCTGACAAGCTATCCGTATCTTACGGCGGTAACAGGCGCTTGCCACCGGAGAATATGTATTGTAATACCTCAACGCCGTCATCTGCTCCGGCCACTCTTCTGAGGGTTACAGAGATCGAAGGGAAAGGCAGGTCATTTGTAGCTTCGGCGCCGTTAAGAGCCGGCGAGATCATCCTCAGAGACTCCCCTCTCCTTCTCTACTCTGCTTATCCTTTCTTCCCGACCTCAGAACCGCCACACGTCTGGAGCAAAAACCTATACTGCTCCAACTGCTTCAGATTGATCACCTCTCTGCCGCCGCCATCATCTTGTTCGTTTTGCTCCGACGCCTTCTGTAGTTCCGGCTGCCAATCCATCGCCGGGTCTACTTCCCACACCCCTTGGATCTGCCAGTCTCTGCGACGCCTCCGGGACGGCTCGTCTTCTCCGCTACTAGCCCAAAGCTACGTCCGGCAAGTCATATCTCGCTTTCTCCTGGCCGCTTATAACCTTGCCGTAGTCTCTCCTTCAAATTTCCGAATTCTTCTATCTCTTCAAGGAAGCCCGTCCTCAATTTCTGAGGACGATGCGAATTTCCTTCATTCTCTGATTACTTCACTCTCCCCAACTCCGGCCCCGGAATTTGGATTCTCTAGGGAGCTGACCGCCGCACTAATGGCGAGAGACGGTGTCAATGGTTTTGGATTGATGGAGCCCTTCCATCCTGAAAAGGAAAGATCTGTGAGGGCGTATGGTATATATCCTAGAGCCTCCTTATTCAATCATGATTGCCTTCCGAATGCTTGCAGGTTCGATTATGTGGACGCTGATTCCAACCCCTACACCAACACTGACGTCGTAATTCGGGTTCTTCATGATGTTACGGAGGGGCGCGAAGTCTGCTTGAGTTACTTTCCTGTAAACTTGAAGTATTCCGAGAGGCAGAGACGGTTGAGGGACGACTATGGTTTCACATGCCATTGTGATCGCTGTAATGTGGAGTCTAATTGGAAAGACGAAGAAGAAGAAGTAGAAGTTATGTCTGGAAATGGGAGTGGAATGAGCGAAGGTGAGGAAGCCATGGATGGGGAAGGTATGGATGAGGAAGAAATGGAGGATGAGGATGATGTGGATTTTCCTCATGCTTATTTTTTCATTAGATTCATGTGTAACAGAGATAATTGTGGGGGTACATTGGCTCCTCTGCCCCCTTCAAGTTCATCTCCAGAATCCACATTAATGGAGTGCAATGTTTGTGGAAATGTGAGCAAGGTTGAAGACTAGAGGATTTCATTGGGAACCCTAATGAAACTTGGCTACTATTTGTACTTTTCTTTTTCTTCCTTATTTGTTGTTGTGATTGTCTGTACCAGTAGAATAGGTCGATTGTTTTTTATAAAGTGCATTTTTTGATGAGTTCATTTTTGATAAAACTGTGCAATTTCATTCTTTTTGAACTACAAAGTAATACAAGTTGTGCCATTTTTACTTTAACTTATAATGTTTTGTCTTTTTTGTCACATGCAACTGGTTCTGGCACCAAAATATGTTTTTCCCTGTGGCATGTATTAGATCTGCAGATTTTCATTCTTTAAAAATTAGGCCATACTTTAACTTTTCAAACGTTTAAACTAAACAACCATAAATTGATCTGGTTTGGTAAAACTTAATGAGTTATTTTCAGTAATACATTTTGTCTTCCAATTTTCCAAACAGATAATATGGTTTATCAACAGCATACATTACTCAAGTGGTGTTTCCACTGATTTTTTTTACTCCAGCGGGTTTCGAACTCGAGATCTCTCACTAGATACGTTAACCTCATAACCAGCTGAGCTGGAATGCTTGGTTTTAGTGTCACACCGCACAAGAATACAAGATTTAAATATGTAAGAACCGGTTTAATTAATTCAGATCAAATTAAACTTAAACTTGAACAATAGTAAAAGATGATATACTTTGATTGACATTATATTTATATACGAAAGTAATTACATATACGGAGTAAAAATGAAATGAACATGTTTTTGTTAAAAGTTATTATCATAAAAGTATAAATTTCAACAAACTTTAATGGTTCACAATCAATGGCATTAATATGTTAGTGGTCTTAAGAAAATAGGACCAATGCATTTTCCCTAAAATAAGATCTACTAGTTTAAAATGTTACAAATAGACTTTTTTTATTTATGATTGGTCCTGAAATAGCCTTGTAAGGTTGGAGCAAAGTTGTCCCGTGATCATCGGAATTTTTTTCCAGAACTCTGCCGTGATATGCTAGAACTTCGCCGTCAGGCCCGCCACCATCAAAGTGACCTAGATTATACAAGCGATGCGCGAGCAGGGGTAATTAATTAATTGAATTATGATATAAAGGTAATATTTCATTTATATTTAGATAAAATCAAACATATAGTTCTATTTTTGGAAGTACGTTACATAATATTCCGTACATTTTAAAATTAGTTTGAACCATTTCCTTATAAATAAATACCACACGGATAATAAACCCCCGCAACCCGCATGCGATGAAATGGGGACATGGAGCAAAAATGAAGGAATAATTACCGAACTGCCCAAGATCGAAGTATTAAGTTGAGATGGTCGAGTTGGTCTAAGGCGTAGGATTAAGGTCCTGGTTTGAAAGGGCGAAGGTTCAAATCACACCCTCAACATCTATTTTGGACGAGTTTTTTTCGTCAATTTTTGCCTTCGGTTTTAATTTATGCCCATTCCTCTTTCCCTAATCCACCATCTATGCGTTGCACGAGAGTGAAACATACTTAGTTAAATATAACTTAAATACGGTACGAGAATTAAACTTGGTTTAATCTGTACGTGTTTTATTCGGTAAGTTGAACAAAAAATCCGGTCAAAATTCGGCAAAAAATACGTTGACTTTTATAAAACGTGTAAATACGTATACGTGTATAATACGGCATCTCTTAGAAAATTTCGAGTTAACGGATCTTATTTTGAATTATTAAATTATTCTACTAGTTTTTAGGGCATAAAACACATAAAGTAAATAAAGGATAATCAACATACACACATATTCAAATATAATATCTCATTACTCCGTCAAAAAATGCATTCATAATAGCATAAGTTCATGACAAAAAAGAAATAATGATTAAGTCTAAAACAACATTTAAATTATATACTTCATAAAATAACATATAATAAAAAGAAATAAGAGCGTGCACATATTGAAGTAGCAAATCATATTACTACATAAAAGAATAATTCGTAATTGCATAAGTCGATGACAAAAGTAAAAATAGTACGGAGTAATTAAGTCTAAGACATATTTTTACAAAGTAATGTCAGAAAATAAGTTATAACAACAATAGAATGAGACCAAGTTAACAACATCATCATCATCTTTATATGATCATCAAATAACACTGAAGTTAAACTCATCATTTTCACCTAGATGACGGATGACATGAGAAAGTTATGCGACTGCTACACTTATTATTGTATATGAGTAAAAGTCTATACTAAAAAATGTTAGGTTTATAAAAACCTTAATTTTGATATGCTTGTTTGGAAAAGAACATCACAAATCTAATACGTAGTAGTATTTTAGATTTTAGTTTTTTAGGATGCTAGCTTTAGTCATCATGCAATTAATTTTAGTATATAACAATTGTATATTTTGTATTGTAACAATACAAAAACACGGGGTCACGGGGATGATGTTTTCCTTTTTGCTTTTAGACTATTGTTGATCTTCTATTCATTTGATGTATTCATTCAAGTGATCAAATGACGTTTTTATTTGTTGTAAAATACGGGATATATACGTTTTGTACGGAAAGTGGAAGTTTTTTCCTTTTTAAACGGACCGATATTGTTTTTCGTTTTAAACGCTTTTTTTTGTTCATTAATCCTATGTGTCATTACAAGCGGAGGCGCTTCATTGGAGGCACTTTTTATCACAAGCGCCTCTGTTTGGCGGATCTTTTTTTATTATTAATTTTCTATTACACATGCGGCGTTTCTCTATAAAAAACGCCTCCAAAATTATTTTCCCGTTTTTTTTTAATATGAAGGTGTGCGGCGCTTCTGTAACACAAACGCCTCCAATATAATTTTTTCGGACTTTTTTTTAAAGTCGAAGGCGTGCGGCGCTTTAAGTTATTAGAAGCGCATCCGAATAGTTTCAATCGCTTCTACCGTAATACGCAATCCTAGCTACCCGCACCCACTACGAGTTCCATCTTACCCGTCGAACGAAGGACCCGGACGCCACAGGAGCTGAAAACGCAGCGACGAGATACCGGCCGACAGCTCTACCGTCGAAGCCGCAGCAGCCCGCAAGACCTGTGCCGCTCTACCCGTCGAAGCCGCAGCAGCCGCCGACAGATTTGGACTGCTACCACTCGCTCGCCGTCGACTGCTTTCCGGTGCCCACTGTCTGCTGCACACCGCCGCCGCTTGCCGTTGTCTGCCACCACTCACTCGCCGTCTCTACTGTTCACCGTCGACCGTGCCAGCTCGTCGTCGACTGTTCCGGCCTGCTGGTGCGTTGATAAATTAAAGGTCAGTTTTTTTTCTTTCTTGTCATATTTGGTTAATTTAATCTGTATTTGATTTTAGTTTGAATTTTTGGGATTAAAGTATATTTAATCCAAGTTCAGTGTATTTTTTTTATTATATTATGTATATTTAATCATTGTATTATGGCATTATTGGCATTTTTTATTTTTTTATTTTTGTTTTTAAATGATAAATCAAATAGGGAAGAAGTGTGTTTTCTATTGTTAGGGATTTGATAGGAATGTGTGTTTTGTATTGTTATTGTACAACAAAGAATTGTTAGTCAAAGAATTGTTAATGAATCCATACTTGTAACTTCACCCATTTGCTATAAATCAACTTAATTAAACTTTGTCAATGTGATTAGTTTAGTTTAGTTGGACTTTGTTTTTAAATTTTGTTAGAGTGCATATAATGCCATTATTATTAAAACTACTTTTATTATTATTTGAAAAGTATAGAATATTTGCTTTAGTTGCTAAAGTATTTATATGCACTTAGCAAATAAAATATATTGTTTATTGCACATTATATGATATATGATTATTGCTAAAAAAATTATATGCACGTTTTATGATATATGATTATTAGACAAATGTAGAATTCCATTCAACATGGATCGTTCTTGGATGTATGGTCATCGAGACACTTCTGAATTTTAAATTGGTGCGAATGGGTTTATCAAAGCTGCTGTTACATACCAGAAACAACAAGGACATACATGAATTTTATGTCCTTGTTTAAGGTGCCGAAACTTGAGAAGAGAGAGTGACGCCAACGTTATACTTCAACATCTGTTTGAGAGAGGATTTAGAGAAAATTACATCATTTGGACATTACATGGAGAGACTTGCCAGGATAATGATAATGTTGTTTCGCGAGCTGCCACTAGTAATTTAAAGCGCAAAGCTCCCAATACTACCACCAACTCCAGTTGGAACAGTGGTGGTAATGGGGATGATGATTTAAATGATGCAACATTTAATGATTTTTTGAAGGATGTGCATGATAATTTTGAACAACAACCAAAATCATATGAAAGTATGGTCGATGCCTCTAGAATACCTTTGTATCATGGCTCTACTCTCACCAAGTTGTCTGCAGTGTTGAAATTATTTCATTTTGAAAGTGAAACATGGATGGAGTAATGTCAGCTTTACAGAGTTATTGACATTAATTCAAGAGATGTTGCCTGAAGGGAATACACTTCCTGATACAACTTACAAGGCAAAAAAGTTATTGTGTCCCATGGGAGCTGAATGGGAGAAATTCCACGCTTGTCCCAATGATTGTATGTTGTACCGAAATGAGTACGAAAACCTTGATGAATGTCCAACATGTCATCTTTCTCGCTACAAGGCAAAAAGGAGTATAAATAGTGCTAGTGACTCTAAGAGTTCCAAAATTCCTGCGAAAGTTATGTGGTATCTCCCCATTATTCCGAGATTTAAAAGATTGTTCATGAATGCAAAAGATTCAAAACATTTGGTTTGGCATTCTCAGGGTAGAAAAAAGATGAGTACTTGCGTCATATGTCTGATTCTCCGCAATGGAGGCAAATTGACTTGAAATATCTTGAGTTCGGCAGAGAGGACAGAAATTTGAGACTTGGCCTATGCACAGATGGTATGAACCCATATGGTACACTCAGTAGTCTACACTAGGGGTGGGCAAGAATACCGGAAAATCGGTATACCGCACTCACCGTACCGAAAAATACCGGAAAATACCGGAATATTGGTATATCGTCATTTTCGGTACGGTATGATACCGTACCGATATATTTCGGTACGATAACGGTAAATGTTTTCAAATACCGCGGTATACCGGTATAATACCGTACCGACTCCCACCCAGCGATTACTATAAATTCTAAAATATTTTAAAAATCCATTACAAGTTTGAAGCCCAAAATTAATACTTATGTTGGTTACAAATAC